TCTAGAAAATGACATCTAATTTTTCTCTTCCTAATCAACTGTTGATCTGAAGTCTCCTTGACTTCCCACTTTCCAGGCTACAGACTTTGTTCAGAACAGAGCATTTCAGGTTTTCACTACAAAACATTTACATTATCAGTATTGACCAAATCAAGAGCAGAAAGCGGAAAGTTCAACTGATTTTATGCAAATTTTGTTTTGTGCAAAGCCCTCGGGATACGTTCAGGAGGAGGCAAAGAGCAGTGTGGCCTATAGTGAATGATGAATGAATCCATCGTTCTAAAGAGGAATGTCTTGGGGCGCCCGAGGGGCTTAGTCGGTTAAGCGTCCGACTTTCGCTTAGGTCATGATCTCACGGTTCGTGGGTTCGAGCCCCGCGTCGGGCTCTGTGCTGACTGGCAGCTCAGAGCCTGGAGCCTGTTTCAGTCTGTGACTCCCTCTCTCTCTGACCCTCCCCTGCTCACGCTGTCTCTCTCTCTCTCCTAGAAATAAATAAAACATTAATAAATAAATAAATAAATAGGAATGTCTTTAGGATATGACAAAGAAAGAAAATGATAACAGCATAGGGAAAGTGTCACTGAAGAGATTTCTACTAGGGGAGCACCTGGGTGGCTCAGTTGGTTGAGTGGCTGGCTTTGACTCAGGTCGTGATCTCATGGTTTGTGAGTTCTAGCCCCGTGTCAGGCTCTGTGCTGACAGCTTGGAGCCTGCAGGCTGCTTTGGATTCTGTGTCTCCCTCTGTCTCTCTGTCCCTCCCTTGCTCATGCTCTCTTTGTCTCTCAAAAATAAATACATGTTAAAAGAAATTTCTACTGGGAGCACCTGGGTAGCTTAGGCTGTTAAGCATCTGACTTTAGCTCAGAGCATGATCGTGAGGTTCACGAGTTCAAGCCCCATGTCAGGCTCTGTGCTGACAGCTCAGAGCCTGGATCCTGCTTTACATTGTGTCTCCCTCTTTCTCTGCCCCTACTCCGCTTACGCTCTGTCTCTTTCTCTCTCTCTCACCGTCTCAAGAAATTTAATAAGCATTGAAAAAAATAAAAAAATAATAATAAACTTCTACTAAACTTTTGTCCATGGCACTTCCTCCCCACAATCAGCTCACAGCCAGTTCTCAGTCTTTGCCTGAAGCCCGAAGCTGTAGGTGCCCCTCCGAGAATGATATGTAAGTAAAGGGTCATCAACACACCTAGGAGAAGTATTTGTAAAGTAGAGTAATGGAAGCGGTATGGGCTGCTTCACCAGTTAGTATTGTAAATACTATGTCTTCTGTTGCATTCTAATTCCCTGCAATCTCTTTCCATGCCTCGATCCCATGGCTCCCCCTCCTGGCTCTTTCCTTCTCTGGGTCTTGCCCTCACGCAGACGACCAGCACAAAAGCCGTGGTCTTTGCAACACTCAACTCTGAAGTCTCGGCTTCCTCACACTGAAGTGAGCAAATTCATGAGAAGGTTCTAGAATACCTTTCAGCTCTCACATTCTCCCTAAAGTGTAAAATTTTACATAAGGATTAAAGAAAAATCTAAAGCAATTAGTTGGTCTGAAATTCTTAGTGCTGCAGATTTTGAAGTGCTGTTATCTGTTGAATCAGTGAATGTTGTCATAGTACCCAGGAAGGATCCACAACAAACAAACTGCTCAGTGAATTGAAGTCTCCTACTTCTCTCTAGACCGCTCCTGCATAAATAACATGGGAAAAGCAAGTTATTTATAAACAAGGTGCATTTGTTCTTCAAATATATCTGATCCAGGGCTCCCAAATTTGGATAAATTTATTTCTCCAGTGTTGCCTGATTACATTTTGTTCAGCTTTAATGGCGCACAGACAACGTCAGGCTGGGCTGAGGGAAATTATGGTAAAACAGTAATATTTTTTTAATGGGAAACTCATTTTGTTATCATACATTTACTCTTCAGAGGGCTAGAATCTGTGCCTTCAGTCAGCTTTCCTAGTCTCCACTGCAGACAGAAGGAAATGGAGCCTCTGACTATTCCTCTCCGGCTTCTGCTTTCAAGACTAAAAGTCTTGAGTGTAAAGTTGCTGACAGCTGTTATTTATTGAACCAGGCCCTGGATGTGAATCACCTGGGTTGTCAAGGTAAATCTGAGTCATTTTCTAAACCGTGACAAGACTCCCACAGCATGGCCAGCTTTAGGAACTTTGAAGCAGAGAAAGCCAGTTGACAGTAGTCAGGCCTGTTTGTCTCCTCAGGCTGCAGAGAAATAGAACTTCGTGTAAAGTCTTTTAGCATTGTCTGCCTTGCTGAGAGACCCACGTTTATGTTTTCTAGGGCGCGCTTCTGCCCACAGCTGGGGCTGGTTTTACTAATCCCCCCCCCCGCTATAACTTCTTCCACCACAAGGAGGCGCTGGATCAGGCCAGCGAATGAAGAGGTTTATTGGCCTTCTCACCCCATACCATGTCCCCTCAGCAACTCTACCCAGAACTTATGTGGGCAGTATATTTGGCAGAGCAGCCGACTATGTTCTCCACTTGAAGATTCACAATAGACATTAGCCTATTAATGACCCTAAAGAGGTTTAAAAGTAAAAGGAGAAGGGGGTGGGATTAGAGGAAAGAAGGGGGGGAAAGAAACAAGGGAAAGAGAAAGAAAACCATTGCATTTATTTCACCTTGCGTTAAAAAAAATTATTTAGCCACCAAACTCTTCCTAGTATAAAACCTATTAAATCCTGCTAACTCAAGAGTTCTGAGATGTTCCCACTTGAGGAATACAGATGATCACTGAAATCATCCTAATTCTGACAATTCTGAGTTCTGTTTACATGTCTTCTAATGCACAATTCTGATCATACCCTTTCCTTGCCCCCAGATCCTCCATGGCTCCCACCTGCCTGTAGACTCCAAATTCCTTAGCATGGTATTCAAGACCTACCAGAGTTTGACCTTAACTTACTTTTCCAGTCTTAGTTCCCTTCCTTCCCGTGCACAGTTTTCTGCTGCCTCCAAACTGGACCTTCCCGGCCCTCTCTTCTCATATCTGTTGCTTTCCCACCTCTGGGCCTCTGTTCAAGCTGCTGGGTCCAGCCTTTCCTCATCTTTGCATGTGTAAATGCAACTCACTTTAAATAATTGAAACTATAATCTCTTCTCTAACTTGTATTTAGAGCTCATCTTTAAAGCTCTTACAGTGGACAAGGTACTGGCTTTTCCTATAGAAATATGTGTGAGTTATTACTTACCTTCCCCTAGGCTTCTTGGAAGAATAGCTTTATGCATGACTACCTGTGCCCTAGCTCCTTGCGTGGGTTGTGTTCCTTTTGAAAGAATAACCTAAAAGATAAATGGCTGCTATGATTCAGCAGGAACTCCTTCCAGGGCAGAAGGAACAAAGGTCTGCGGTCCAGAGGCCCGTTTGGTTTTGCCATCAGCATCAGGGAACTCAGGCCACTTGCTTCTCTGCCTGAGAGGTCAGTGTGCTCAGCTCTATAAGAACAGGGAAGGGCCGGCAGCGGTCACAGGCCTTCTGAGCTAAATACTCTGAGATTCTCATCATTTATGAAAAATTTTGAGACAAGGCTACAGAATTTAAAATAAAAGAGAGCAGGGGCGCCTGGGTGGCTTAGTCGGTTAAGCGTCCGACTTTCGCTTAGGTCATGATCTCGCGGTTCGTGGGTTCGAGCCCCGCATCGGGCTCTGTGCTGACTGCCAGCTCAGAGCCTGGAGCCTGTTTCAGAGTCTGTCACTCCCTCTCTCTCTGACCCACCCCTGCTCACGCTGTCTCTCTCTCTCTCTCCTAGAAATAAATAAAACATTAAAAATAAATAAATAAATAAATAAAATAAAAGAGCAGTCAGTGACTAGAGACCCACTTGAATTTTAATAGGGGGAAAAACGATTAACCCAAAGGAAAGATCTCTAACATTGGGGCCTCAGGGATCAGCAAGGGACTAAGCAAAAGATATTTTTTAAAGCAGGAATTGTCCTGAGTTCTCAAAACTGTCCACATTAACAACTACTTGTCCACTTTACAAGTGGTCTTACAACTGATCTTAAATATATACTTTTGCAACTCATCTCTGCAGAAAATGCCTACCTTAATAAACCTAACAAACAAAAACCCTTAATTCTCTAATGCAGGGGTTCGCAGAGTGTGCTCTCCAGGTCAGCTGCATCAGCATCACCTGGCACCTCCTTAGACGCACAGATTTGCCCCCAAATCCCAAACCCTTTGCGTCAGAAACTCTGAGGCCGGGGCCGGGAATCTGTGTTCTAACAAGGCCTCTAGTTGAACCAAGTTTGCTCATGATAATATTCAGAGTAAATATGTTATCATCTGTGTCATAAACTCAAAGATGCAGAAATGTGTGTTTCACTTTTCACCCCAGTCTGTTAACACTACTGTACAAAACACCAAAATGGAGTGGTGGCAGATGTATTTGCTCTCTTGCCTTTGACTTCTGCCCACTCCACCGCTTAGACATCCATGCACTCATTAAAATCTGTCTCATCTTGGGGCACCTGGGTGGCTCAGTCAGTTAAGCGTCCGACTTTGGCTCGGGTCATGGTCTCACGGTTCGTGGGTTCGAGCCCCCGCATCGGGCTCTGTGCTGACTGCCAGCTCAGAGCCTGGAGCCTGTCTTCGGATTCTGTGTGTGTCTCTCTCTCTGACCCTCCCCTGCTCTCTCTCTCTCTCTCAAAAATAAATAAAACATTAAAAAAAAATCTGTCTCGGGGCGCCTGGGTGGCTTAGTCGGTTAGGCGTCCGACTTTCGCTTAGGTCATGATCTCGCGGTTCGTGGGTTCGGGCCCCGCGTCGGGCTCTGTGCTGACTGCCAGCTCAGAGCCTGGAGCCTGTTTCAGTCTGTGACTCCCTCTCTCTCTGACCCTCCCCTGCTCACACTGTCTCTCTCTCTCCTAGAAATAAATAAAACATTAAAAAAAAAAAATTTAAAAAGAAGAGTAATCTGGAAACATTGAAGAAAAAAAACCTTTCATTAAAAAAAAAAAAAAAATCTGTCTCATCTCTTACAGCTGATCAAGCGGACCCTTGCAAATTCCTGGCCTGTGGCGAATTTGCCCAGTGTGTAAAAAATGAGTGGACCAAGGAAGCAGAGTGTCGCTGCAGAGCAGGTTATGAGAGCCAGGCGCGCCTGGACCGCCGGGACTCTGGCCTCTGCACCCCCAGAGAGGGCTGTGAGGCCATCCAGGGGAAGGGAGCTCCGTGCAGGTAGGTGGAGCACAGGAACTTTGTAGATCCAAAGATTTGTTGCTCTTGCTCTTGAGAAACCTATCATTAGAATGAATGCATGTGGCCCTTTAAACCGATATGGTTCTCAGTCTCCAGTGAACATCAGAATCTCCCAGAAGAGGATTTGTTCAAACACATGGCTGGGCCCTGTGAGGCTCTCTTTGATGCAGTATGTCTGACTGTACCACCTTAATTGGTGGTGGTGGTGGTGTGTGTGCGTGCATGTGTGTGTGTGTGTGTGTGTATGTATTTGGGTTTTTTTTCCCCATATGTAAAGACAGTTTTCATCATAAAAATTTTGGAGAATATTCAGAATTATGAACAAGAAGATAAAAAATTATGTGATATTCTTATTAGCTATTATTATCTCTTGATGGAAAAGTTTATACAGAATGTTTACATAGAATGTTCTAACGCAAAATAGAATCACACTAGCTTCTTGTGTTTTTTGTTTTGTTTTGTTTTTTTGTTTTAAATTTTTTAACGTTTATTTATTTTTGAAAGACAGAGACAGAGCATGAGCAGGGGAGGGGCAGAGAGAGGGGGAGACACAGAATCTGAAGCAGGCTCCAGGCTCTGAGCTGTCAGCATCGGGCTCGAGCTTGTGAACCGCGAGCTCATGACCTGAGCGGAAGTCGGCCGCCTAACCGACTGAGCCACCCAGGCGCCCCTAGCTTCTTGTTTTATACTCAGCTTTCATACTTAGAACATCCCCCTCTGTCATTAAATATTTTCTGTGCCATCACCTTTAATGATTACATAGTAGTCCCTTCTATAGATCTGCTGTGTCTAATCAATCCTTGGTTTCCAACAGAAAGGTTGAGAAGCTCTTAAGAAGAGGGTAAGGGAGGAGGGATACAATTGGCCTTCTATTCACGAACCAGACTTTTAGGGTAGGTGGCGTTATGAATGGTCAGGGAACACAAAGGCTCCTGATTCTTCTCCAAATCCTGTGACACCCAGATAAGGTCCACACTGTAGACTCTGCCCTCAGAGAGCTTCTTCATGAGCCTCTCTCGCCTTTCCCGGTAGTGAGTTTCCAAACATACACACCTGAACATTTCCACAGTCTCTTAGACTCATACGTTAGATCACCTTGGACCCATATCTTTAATAGATCATGTTTCTTTTTTTACTGTCTTCTTACTCGTTCTGGTGGCCACAGTCTTTAATTTCCCACCAGGGAACTCATGGCCATCTGTCCCTCACTCAGTCAATAAGAAGCAATAGAGGAGCGCCTGGGCGGCTCCGTCATTACAGTCATGATCTTACAGTTCCTGAGATGGAGCCCCGCGCCCAGTTCTGCCTGACAGCGCAGAGCCTGCTTGGATTATCTTTCTCCCTCTCTCTCTGCTCCTCTCCTGCTCACTCTCTCTCTGTGAAAATAAATAAACTTAAAAAAAAAGAAGCTAGAGAGATTTAGCCTTTCTCTTCATGAAACATACCCTGTTCTTTGAAAGTATTAACACGTTAAAGACAACTATCCAATAAGGGTTAAGAAGCAATATTCTGGAGTCAAACAAGTTGTGATTAAAATTTTGATTTAGCACTTTACTAACCAAGTGACCCTGGACCAATTACTTCTCAAAATTTCAATTCCCTCATTGAATACTGAGACTAGTAAAACCTTGTGGGTTCCTGCAAGGGGCATATGAAATTGTGTTTATAAAGCATCTTTACAAAGAACATAAAGCACAGAATATCCATTCAGATGAGTGAGGGTTATGAGAATGCTGTCAACTTTCTTCAGGTTAATCTCAAAGTCCCAACAGGATTCTAAATGGAATCTGACATTGTTTCTAAAATCCCCTGGAAATGAAAATGAACAGAAAATCTTGAAGTACGATGATGGAGAGATTGCTCTATAAGAGAGCAATACATAAAATAATATTTAGAACACTAGGACAGTAAATACATAGAATTAATATAAGACCCTTGGGGCGCCTGGGTGGCTCAGCTGGTTAAGAGTTCGGCTTTGGCTCGGGTCATGATCTCCCGTTTTGTGGGTTTGAGCCTCGCGTCGGGCTCTGTGCTGCCAGCTCAGAGCCTGGAGCCTGTTTCAGATTCTGTGTCTCCCTCTCTCTCTGACCCTCCCCTGCTCACGCTGTCTCTCTCTCTCTCAGAAATAAATAAAACATTAAAAAAATTAATGTAAGACCCAAATAGATCCTTATATTTAGAGAATCTATTTTTTTAATGTTTATTTATTTTTGAGAGAGAGAGAGGAAAGGGAAGAGGCAGAGAGAGAGAGAGAGAGAGACGGGATCCAAAGCGGGCTCTATGGTGACAGCAGAGAGCTCAGTGTGGGGCTCAACCTCACGAACTGTGAGATCATGACCTGGGCCAAAGTTGGACACTTAACCAACTGAGCCACACAGGCACCCCTAGGGAATTTATTTTAATGAGCATTTCAAATCCGTAGGGAGAGAATGGACTGATCAGTAATGGTTAGAGTATAATTTGACCTTCTATATTTAGAAAAAAATAAAATTAGTTTTTACAGAAATCAATTTTATATCAAAGATTCAAACTTAAAATAAAAACTATGAAAATTGAGGAAAACTATTTGTAAACCCATTTTTAATAATCCTGGGCTAAAACAAAGAAAGCCTTCCCTAATCTGGATACCAATGGCATACCAAGATGACATTAAGAAGAGGATTTCTACAGGGAAAAAGTCACCACAAATAAAATTAACATGTTAAGAAGGTGAGAGAAAAATATTTGCAACCTATTTTATATCTTAAAAACTCATAGAAGAAATCCAGATGACCAAAAAAACATAGGACAAGATGCTTGTTCTCACTATAATCAGGGAAATCCACAAACAATAGAGATAGCTTGATACTAGTGAGTTTGGTAAAAGACAAACAAACAAATAAGAAAAACCAAAAAGGTTATTAATATCCAGTGTGGGTAACATCAGGGAAAACGAGTTCATCAAGCGTTGCTGGTGGATGTGTAAATTAGAAAAACCGTTTTTCAAGAAATATTTGTTTATCAATACTATAAAATTTTTAATTTGATTCAGATACTCTACTTTTAGACAATTATTCCTACAAAAATAATTGCATTTGTGCACTAAGATATGTTTACAGAAATGTTCGCAGCATCATCACTTTGGATCGTCCCCATCTATGGAGAAAGAGTTAAATCATGTATAGTGTGGTGTCATTCACCATGAACACAGCAGTTAAAAAGCAGTAATATAGCTCTACTGGCGCTGCCACAGGAAAAAAAAAAACCCAGACATTTTATTAAATGCGAAAAGTAAATTGCAGAATAATAGATCCTGTTTAGGTAATAACAATAATAAAACTGTGTACTTATAAGTATATTAGGTTCCACTATGTGGCTTTGCCATTTTGTCAATAACAAATCGTCAAATATTGGCAATTTTGTATGGTTCACTCAAAGATGTAAGGAAAAGCATAGCCAGTATGTGGAATGGCAGATGCACTCATGCTACTATTCCAGTGAACAGTGGAAAGGAGAATTGCTCAGTGTTATTTTTTTTTAATGTTTATTTTTGAGAGAGAGAGAGAGAGAGAGAGAGAGAGAGAGAGAGATGGAGACAGAGCAGGAGCAGAGGTGGAGCAGAGCGAGAGGGAGACAGAACCCGAAGCCGACTTCAGGCTTTGAGCTCTCAGTACAGAACCCGATGCTGGGCTCATGACCGCTCAGAGCCCGATGTGGATCTCGAATTCATGGACCGGAAGACCATGACCTAAACCAAAGTTGGACTCTTAACTGACTGGGCCCCCCGGGAGCCCCAAGAATAGCTCAGTGTTAAATGCTAAACTCGAATCTCCTTAGCATGAGGACAAATCCCATTGCCCTCGCGTGCTGCCGCAGACTCTCAGCGTAAGACACCCCTGAGCACAGTGGTGCTGAGGGGCCCCCTGGATCTCTGCCCCCTCCTCCTGCTCCTCACAGGATGCCAACATTTATGTGACTCTTACAGTGTACTTACGTGAGGCTTACTTTTATGACCATTTAAGACCTTATCAACCGTAGACCAAGGCAGCGATGAAGTCTGGAGGCTTTAGAGTTAAAATTCCAGCTGTACCCCAACTACTTGTCACTTGGGCAACCTTAAGCCTCAAATTTCTCGTCCAGATAATGGGGATAATCGGAATGCATACATGGGTTTAGGTGAGGGATAGATCAGATGCTCTTCGGGGTAAACGGCCCTGCTGCTGGCCCGGCTGGAGCTGGTTGATGATTATCCACAGAGGGCAGCCCCGTAAGGAAATGCCAGGAATGCAAGCCTAAACTCAAAGCAAATCGGCTGAGGACACAAAGGTGTTCTAACACCGAAAGCCGCAGTCTCTCAAGAATTGTAAACTCAGTGCGTTTTTGTTAGTCTACCTGAAGATGAAGAAAGAGATGGGAAAATTATACCGAGGGCAAGTGCCTTGCTGAACAGATGAGTCCACTGATTTACAAGAAACATTTTCAGTTTGTTTTCTTTGTCATTCCACTGCCAAGTCGTCATCCATCATATTTTCACCTTTATCCTTCCTTCTTTTCCTCCATTCGGTATTTATGAATGTACTACATACATTTTTCATTTCCTTCATTTTCGATATCCCATAGATACAGTTGTATGGAACTTGGCAAAAATTCTCCCAAGAATAAACAGAATTTTCATTTTCGAAGGTCTCTTTTTTAGCTTAATGAGTTTGACTTTCATTAATCACAATTATCATTATAACATATGCAAAGATGCAAATCTAGATCTAATAGTAAATTATGACTTTTCTTCCTCAGATCTGGAACTTTTCACTTTGTCCTTCAGTTTAACAGGCCCAATGCGTTCTCCGTGGTGTTATTTATAATAATGAAAATTATTTCCAAATATAGGAGCCAGATTCAGGAAATGAGGATGCAGAGTGTCATCTCTGAGGAGATTTTTATAAGAAAGTACTTGTCTTACTACAGTAAGATCCCAGGTTTACTCACTTGCTACACCTCAGGTGGGGGAAGAGCCCACTTTTTATTTCTAGCAGCTGTGTCTCACTCCCTTAGAAGCACTTTCTCCACTGGATGGGGAAGCAGTGGGAATGGGGGGGAGGAGCCAAGAGAGGGAGGAGTTAGAGTTTAATACAGTCCAATCCATTTTTAAAACTTCATCTGATGAACAACTGAAGCAACAACGTTAGGCAACTCCCTTCCCTTGGAATATATAATCAGGCTTAAAAATCTTTTCCCTTCCTTTCCTTTCTCCAAGATGGTGTCTAGATGTATGGGGAGTGTCAGGGGCTGGGGGGGGGGGAGGTGCTCCCTGCCTCACCAGACCCTTGGGAAAGTCTCTATCCTCATTATTTCCCTCGCCTGTGATCTCTCAGTTCTGACCTCAGGTACCTACCCGTCCCTTAGTATTCTCAGAGCTTCCAAATCACCCAACCAGGTGATTGGCAAGTAGGAACCAAACATGCTGAAGGAACAAGGAACTTTTCTCGTAAGACTACACCTCCAAGATAGCATCTTCCTTCCTTCCTTCCTTCCTCCCTCCCTCCCTTCCTATAGTAATACCATCTCTATGCCTGAAATTAAAATGGACAGAATGCTGGGAGAAAGAAAACAGTTTACTGATACGGGAATATATGTCAGAGAGTATCCCCCAAATATTATACCCATTTTATAATGTAGAGAGGGAAAGAGCAAGGTGCAAAATGTGTATACACTACCACCAGAAATTATAGAATATGTACATTAAAAACTCTGAAATTCTATACATCAAATTATAAAATAACTTTTGTTTTTAAATTGTACGAACAAATGTCATTACATGGATGTTTTCCAACAACCACAACTCACGACTTTAAAAATAACTCTGGAAAAAAAAAACCTCCACTTTTTGCAAGATGAAGTTATCCCCCATCTTTCTCTCTAGCTTTGTTCAGCCATTCTGAGCTGGCTACCTGAGAACAGGTTGCCAACAGGAAGGCAAGACTCAGGGGTCGAAGCAGAGAGCACGCTTCTTCCAGCCCTCTCGGATGGCACCCGCGAAAACGGGCAATCCATTTTCATTGCTGTCATCATCTTAAAGCTAAAATAGTAGAAAGTTGTAGTTGCTATTAATGTCAATAAACCCAGGAAATAGGATACCATGTTTTTGCTTTCTTTTGTAGGTCACCAGGTCACTCTAAAAATCAAGCCTACAAAACTAGTGTGAAGAAGTTCCAACATCAGCAAAATAACAAGGTAAAATAATACTTTTATGTGTTGGTTTTACTGAATTTTTAAGAAAACCTAAAACGTTTCTACATCTGACTCTTCTTTTAAAGAGAGATAAGTAAGAGCACTTTGCCTTTATTTGCCAGGCTCCTTAATTGAGTACCATAAGGGCAGGGGGTATTGTAAGGGGCGTTTCTTGGCATGAGGAAGACAGACACAGAAGGCTGGCATTGTCTGAAATGTGTAGACAAAATTAAAAAAAAAAACAAAACAGAAACAATCCAAGTATTTTATTCACTTTTTCTTGTAAAAATATACATGCAGTTTATCAAATGCACAGCAACAGGTTGAAATTTTCATAATAATTCATATTCTTGGAATCATTTATGCATATTCTTGTATCTTCTTTTGATTTTGAATAATGAACGAAAGCAAAAATATATAGAGAAATATATAGAAGAAACATGATTTGTGAGCAATGGGTAACTTCAAAAATTCCTATATGTTCATCCTCAGATAAATGTTCCTTCTGGTGTCCCAGATACCCCTTTCAAATTATTCATCCAACTTATTTCACTAAAATAATTCTGTTTTACAAAGGGAAATATCTATAAATAGGTTAAATATAGAGATTTTTGAAAAATAACTTCTGAGAAGATACCTTGCACAACTTTTATCCTAAAATTATACCTAGTCTTTGATGTTTTGTAAAAGTGAGTGATAATCATCCAGTTCCCACTCTACCTGAAATCTATAGTGTTGGATGGAAACAAACACATCAAAGCTTGTACTTGAAACAAGTTGTTACCATCAGTATACAATCAAGGATGCTGAGGCAACCACACAAATGCTAATCACAATTCCATGTGGCCAGGTGCACACTGGAATAATGTGTGCATTTTGATTTCCTGAAACAAAGGAAATTGGAAAGATAGAGGAAGTTCATTCAGTCTTAAGTCATAAAATGACAATAAAGCACCAGATCTGCTATTAATAAAATGCCCAGGATGAAGCAAACACTAAGAAAATCCTAAAGTGCCAGGGAGAACTAAGGACCACATTTCAAATGAAGCAGCAGCATGGAATAGTCATGTTTGCTGCTGTTGGAAGGGAAGGTGGTGACTTTAATTCACAAACTGCGTCCTCTGCTTTAAGAGATGCTCCAGCCTGAGAATCTAAATGGGTTTACGAAGAGATGGAATACATTCCTATTATGTTATAAAGTTAGGAATATTTTGGATGGCATCCCCAAACCTTTCAAAGAATATATCCTAAATGGCAAGCATATTCTTTCAAAACCAGCAGAGGTGATATTGGAATGAAATATTGATTTGGCCTCAGATGACATTTCTTAACCTCTTAAAACTATTTATCTTCCAGATAATCAGGAAAAGAAATTCTGAATTACTGGCTGAAGGATATGAAGATTTTAACTCTCAAGACTGGGAAGGAAATTAAAAGCTAAAAATATACAGATTATAATTTAATCTGTCTCAAGAGAAATAGATTGCTTTTTCAAGGAAAATTGTATCCACTCTGTTAAAATTCTGAAAACATAGGCAGGCATATTTACTGGTCATCTGAATCCAGTCATATAGTCAACACTGAGAACCAGCACACACACCATGTTTCAAATAGAGAAGAATTGGGGCGCCTGGGTGGCTTAGTTGGTTAAGCGTCCGACTTTCGCTTAGGTCATGATCTCGCGGTTCGTGGGTTCGAGCCCCGCGTCGGGCTCTGTGCTGACTGCCAGCTCAGAGCCTGGAGCCTGTTTCAGTCTGTGACTCCCTCTCTCTCTGACCCTCCTCTGCTCACGCTGTCTGTCTCTCTCTCTCCTAGAAATAAAATAAAACATTAAAAAAAAAAATTAAAAAAAAAAAAAAAACAAATAGAGAAGAATTGTGAACTTGAGGACTGGTACATTCTGCAGTAAAAAGATGTTTTTTGTCAAAACGCAAAGCACAATCACTGACCGATAGTCAAGGTGACAGCAAACCAGATGTGCTTCTAGCTGCCCTCAAAATAGTACTACCAGATCATTTACAAGTGCAACTACCTGTTGTTTGGGGAGGTTGAAACAAAGCTCTTCATGTGTTACAGTGCACATTCAGGACATGCGCACAAGGAGATGCAGGTCTCTCTGAAACATGAATGTATCCAGTATGTAAACAGTGGTGAGGCTATATATGCTCCTCACTTCAGTGTCTGTAACACGCACGTGCACACACACACACATACGTGCACACACCTTCAGTTCTTCAGCGCATTAGTTTTACAAGAAATTAGTGCTTACACAGTAGATCGTTTTGCTGCCAATAATTTCTGAATTGTTCCTTTAATAGAAAAATGAACTGGGGTTCAGACATATATACTATGGGAAATCTAACTTTTCTTGTTACCTGATAAAGCTGGTTTTTCTTTTTTTAGTTTATTTTTGAGAGAGACAGAGACCGCCCCAATGGGGGAGGGGCAGAGAGAGAGAGGAAGACAGAGAATCCTCAGCAGGCTCCATGCTGTCAGCACAGATTCCAATGCAGGGCCCGAACCCAGAAAACCACGAGATCATGACCAGGGCCAAAACCAAGAGTTGGACGCTCAACCGACTGAGCCACCCAGGCGCCCCCCTGCATAAAGCTATTTTAAAGGAAGACACTATGTTGGGGGAAAAAATTACATTGTACTTTGTGACATAACCAATACTTACATTCCTCCACAGAGGGACTATGTCTTCCTATAATAATTCTATTGAATACTTCTTGACACTAACTTTGCTGTGTGCATGGGTAGATTGGCATCAGGGTAATCCAGTTCAGCCAGTTTTTAATGTGCTACATAATGAAAAATGATTTATCTGTATCTGTTTCAAATGTTCCATTACCAATATATTTGCTGCAAAACCTTAATTTCAATAAAATGTAAGCACCATATTCATAGATTTATAATAAAAAGGATCTGTGTTTTACTAGCTATTCCCTAGATTTGCTACGTGGATTATGACAAATGATTAAGCATGATTTTAATGCTACCAAACATGAGAAAATATTCAACACCGATGGCAACATTTTAGTAATAAAACTTCAAGAATAAAAACAAAGTATTTCCTAATAAAGACATAATCTTTTGGGAAGTGGTATCCTCTCCTGGTTACAAACCCTTGAAAATTCACTCCTATTGGCCTCAGAAATGCATGGCTTTCAACCCTATTCCCACCCCAATTGTCCCCTAAAGTGAGGAGCTGGGATATGGCATAAGGAATTCAACCTGTGAGATGGTGATCAAGTACCACGAAGAATGATGGTAGGAGATGTACATACTCACTCACTCATCTCTGGAACCCAAAGGAAAACAAGGTTGTTAGAAGCATGATAGGCCAACCGAAGCACATGAAAACAACTCCATCAAGAGAAAAAATTAAACTCAAACACTATCACCTCCTCGTAATGTGCCCTCTACCCTCTACATTTCAGTTGTGCTCTAACTATAGTAAGGAATGTAGTTTTTGATGGGGAAAGAGAAGTAGGTGAACACTCCATCCTGATAAAAGGGTCCTGCTTAGAAGCCAGTGCCTCTCACTCGTTGGATCACCCACTTTTCAGATTGGTCTGTTCCAACCAGCCAGAGAAGAGCTGTTGGCCTGTACTCTCAGAAGCCCCACCTGGATCATTAGGTTCCAGATGAGGGGCAAACAGTAGCCTGTGGAAACTATCTACATTCAAAGTCTCAGCAAGATGGCCTCTTCTTTGGATCCCTAGGTTTCACCTCCTGTGTCATGTCACAAACAGATTGGTAAGGGCCTGGGGAAAGATGGCCAAGATTTGGGTTTTCCTAATCTAGTTGATGAGGGAGCGTGGGGCAAGCTGAGGGCAAAATACAGGCTAACACTCCCAGGTGGAATACGGGTGATATTCCTCGGACACTCTCGGCTACCCAAGAACAAAGGAGAGGGTTTAAGTGCTTGCCACGGTAATGTGGGCAACTAAGGCAAATGAAAAGTTACATTCCCTTACTGCCTCCAGCCCATTGACAAGTCCTTTAAACAGGCAGAGTGACCTCCCTCTAGCAGCTCAGCTGCCTCAATGATGACACTTTGCTGGGGGCAAAAGGGAATCTTGGTTTAACATTATCCCAACCTCGAGGATCCTGTAAGTCTACTCCCTTTATCTCAACTGCTCCAAGATGTATGCTGGCAATCTTGGTCCAAGCCCCCCCGGTACACATCTGAAGGGTCTCATGACTGAGGTTTTATTAAATGGTAATAAAAGGTGTTTCCCTGGCAAAAGCTAGCCCCTCAAGGTCCTGGAAACCTTGCTTCCAAAATTCCTTAGAGATTTATTCTGTCCCTGACCCCCTCCCAACCTGAGGGAATATAATGAGTTACCTGTTATGACCCCACGCAGCTCTTCCTGCCCCATGGTTTAGTAAAATCACCTCCTTTGCACCAAAGACGTCTTCAAGAATTCTTTCTTGGCCACTGGCTCCAGACCCCATGAATCCCACATCACCCCAAAACGACATCATAGTCAATGTGAGTAGCTGCAGGTCACATATAGTCCTGTTTGTTCCCTGGATGGGAAACGCATAAAAGTTTGGGGCCAAAACTCAAGGTTATTCTAGTCACCTGAGTTCCACTGCCTCTTCCCACAGCCACTTAGCAAAGGGGTTCCAGCTCAGGACCCCAGACTTCTCCAATTTATTCAATCTGAGATGTGGGGCAACAAATGTAATGTTTACAATTGTTTTTAACACCCTGTAACTGCATTAAAAGCACAAGATGCAAGAGGAAGTTCTACATAGATGGAATTTATTATTTCTATTTCCAGTACATCAGTATTTTAGGAAAGAATCAGATATACATTTTTAAGGAAATGAGGGAAAATTAAGCAACAGGTGCTATTAGATGGACTTTCAAAAGTGAAAAGAAAATGGCAATAAGCCAATCCGAGGTTTGAAGGTGAGACTCTGCATAGATACAAATTAGGATTAAAGATTCTCATTCTCATGTACATTTTTCCCTGATTATCTTTTGAAAGATATCTTGAAAGTCTGACCATCAAATTTACTTCATCGATTAAGTTAGTGATGGGAAAGGAAGAATACATTGATGTGAATTGAACCTAACTGTATTCAATGATCTGGGCCTGACATGGGTAGACTCTACCTCTCCAAGTCTCCCCAACTCTCTCCCTCCATGAGGCTCACACACAGAATGTCTACTCACTGCGGGTCTTCTCCAGCATGGCGGTGCCATTTCCATATGCTAAGAATTTATACACCAGGTCTATTGGGATCCAAGTTTTAACAACCACAGGTTGTGCTTCTGTATTACATACAACTCATTCTAAAACTCAGCAAAGATCTAGGAGTGCTTTGTCACCTGAAATGTATGTGTTTTCCAGCCTGGGGAAGTAGAGTCTTCAGGGATAGACCCATTTATTTCTCTTCCAGCACTGCCCCTCTCTTTCCTTATTGTTGCAACTGTTCCCCTCGACTTGTCCTTATTCTCATTTTTAGTATCTCCTGCCCTCTCCTCCCTTGTTAGTTTATCTTCTGGGAGAAATAAACTCTCAATACTTGTTATTTCTGGTAATGAAACATAGACTATGTCACACTTTCAGGAGATGTGGAATGACAAATGAATAGCCTCTGTAAATCTACAGGGGCTACTCTGAACAGTTTTCTTTTCTTTCCACGATTGGAGCAAAAGCATTTCTATCTCTTTCATGGTCTAGAACTAAATTACTTGATCCTTGTCAATCTCTTTTACCTCCTCCGTAAAAGGAGGTAGATCTACCACTAACATTGTACTAACTGATTGTACTAACGGACTGATTCATTCAGTAAATATTTATTCTACTTAGCCAAGTACTCTTATGGTCCTTTACGAAAAGAAACCAAAGAGCTATGTATCTGGGTCCCCTGAGAACCATAGTAATAACCTGTGAATGAAATTATTTTTTAAATCCAATTAATAAAGCTCTATAATTAATCCTCATTATTATTCTTGCCTGTTTCTATTCTCTAGCCAAGCTTCCACAAATACCACCTACCGATTTTCCATGTAAGATTCTATTTTCTTTGTTGTTTGCAAAACAAAAGTGTTCACTGTGTTACAGGAAAGAATGACCTATTAAAAATACATTATAGGAAGCAGAATGTAAATTACAATAGAATGTCTCCTGTGTAGGCTTGTACTCCTACGTGCATTATTTTATTTTTTCCTCACATAATCCTCTGAGAAGGTGCCATCTACTCAACTTTGCAACTAAGAAAATACATTGTTCTCTTGACAAGTGTGTATTAAAGAAACTTTCTCTCAGTGCCTACCAACAGCTCATAATACATATCTTAAATGTGTTAGTGGAATTAGGAATTACATTATAATTGAACTGAATTTTTCCTTTCATTCTTAATATTTTATGTATATCTACTTTTGTAAACTATACACTAAGGAAGGAACATGTACTGAGTAAGAAAAACATTAAGATTAGTTCTTAATATTCAATACACTGGTTTAAATTTCAAATTTTAAATCTCAATTACAATGACATTAAATACAAATTGACTTGATTCCTATAGTTCTCACACAACATTTATGGGTTTGACTGTGAACACTGTAAAGCAGCTATATCCACAT